CAACACCTATTTTATGTTGTGTTCCTTCTCAACGTTGACATTTTAGAGGTGGTTGAACTACACCCCCAAAAACCCCCCAGCAAGCAGGGGGGCTGGGGAATTCTGGGAGTTGAAGTCCACCCATCTTAAAGTTGCCAAGGTTGAGAAGCACTACATTAGAGACTAGTGTTGGTGAAGTCACAAGTAATTCTACCTGGTGGTCCTGTCATAACACTTCCTCATTCTTGCTGTGGCCATACTTCTGAGCAACCCAGACCAGCAGGGGAGCTTATCAGTGCTGCCAGACAGGGCGTCCAAAGATAATGTAAATCCTGATATTTGTTATGGTGGGAACTGGGTGTTCCAAGTTGGTGAAAACATCTCCCATTTTTCTTCTCTCCAGGTTATAGAGATGAGGAAAAAGGAGGCTCCCTACTTGCTCCCTGAAGGTGTCTTTGTAGAGAAACCCAGGTATGAGAGCCATTGTTAGCTTAAAAGATATTGATTGTATCCCTCTTGTAGTTTAGATCAGTGCTTCTCAACCTTGGCAATTTTAAGATGTGTGGACTTCAACTTCCAGAATTGAACTGATGGCTGGGGGAATTCTGGGAGTTGAAGTCCACACATCTTAAAATTGCTGAGGTTGAGAAACACTGGTTTGGATAATCATGCTTTGAACAAGTTGGCTTTTCAACCCACTTAATTGTTCCCTCCTTTGCCTTCAGCATTGTCTTTCACATGTGTCCTTCCTTCCCTGGAAACCAATTGCTGAGTGATATGGGCAGGTGGGGAGTCATTGGGACAGTCATATATCGTTTCTCTTGTTTTGACCCAAAGGCTGTCACGGAACCTGGATCACCTTGGCCCCGAGATCCTCTTCCGGCAGAGCAAGATCAGTGAAGTGCTGGGTGGGAGCGGCTACAATTCAGATAGGCTCAGCACACCTTACATCCCACAGCTGACAGGTATGAGAGTGTCTGTATGAGAGAAGGTAGGAGATGGAAGGAGAGGGTACATGATTTGCAACTGGATATATATTTCCTTGGGCCAGGAATTTTATCATTACTTTTTTAGAGAAAATTTCTGTTGTATTATGACTTAAAAGTGTTTCCTAAAAACCATGCTTGCTGAAACAACCAAATTGATGATGGTTGATTCTTCACTGTGGTCTCTATGCTTCACACAGCTGGGCTTTGCGCTCAAATACAGCATTGTCTAGAACCTTCTTTAGCTGAATTTTCATTGCAAAATATCCCTCTTCGCTTTAGTGTACTTGCTGAAGGAGGAGTCTGCTACTTTCTCCTCAGTTCATTTTCAGTCATAGCAGTAGCATGTCTGCCAGCATTCACTGACCTTGCTGCAACATTCCATTGCTGAGTGGAAATTAGTCTAGATTTTCTTGTTTTCTGTATCATCGTTGTTTGCTTTGCCAACATTTGGACATTGTAGTCCCCATCATCCATTTTGTCCCATCAATCTATGATGTTGAAGACTCCAAACTGTAACTACGTGCAGCATGAAACTAAATTATCTGTGTAGATGGACATTCTTTGTTCCTCCTCTTTTTGGAGGAAGGGCATAAAGTAGATGTTTATGCCCACTGCCAAGCTTTTATCCAGCAGGAGAGGTGTAATCAATCCTCCCATTTGAAAATTGTACTATTGGAGCAAACATCTAAGCATTGGGAATTCTCCCCTAAGCTCAACCATCATACCACTATTCTAGCCATGATGATATCTGTAACCAACACTAGTCCACCAAAAGCACAGATTTGACTTACTGCTTTTAATGATTCCTTCATCCTTGATATTCTCACTGGTTTCAAGATTGGCCTCTCTGATGACAATAATAAAAGTGGCTACTTTATCTTATACCTGAAACTGAAACAGAGATAAGACTGGAGGTAGGAGATGGAGGGAAGAGAACAACCACAAAAACTGAGGGGACATCTTCAGTACATTGCTTCCTTGCATTCAACCTTTAGAAGATGAAATCAAAAAGAAGTCTGTTGACATCCATTGCCTTTGGTCCTGATGCTGATAGATCAGACATTCTCTGAATTTGTGGTATAGCTTCTAGTATTATGAGTGTGATACTTTTGTACCATTGGATGTATTCAGCACATTTATACCAACAGGAAGAATTCCAGCAACTGTTGTGCATCAAATGCGAGCCCTATTTATAGTGAAATTATGGTTCAAAATTCGTGCACCCCTTTCTCTGGCTAAGCAATGCAGTGGGCTAGGCCCTCCTTTCTTTTGGGTGGGAGGCCTGGTTTCCATCAGTTTGTTGTTTTGGAATCACAGAGATCAAGTATCAGGCTATTTACTTTGACTTTGTGAGAAGTAGCGTTCATAAGGTTGTCCTACCTCACCTCTACTATAGTGATTACAACTGCTACCATTTCTGCAGTTTCACTTTTGTGCCACCTTCCTTTCTATAGCTGACTAAAGTGATGTCTTGAATGTGATCTTAGTTACCGTCTGCCCAAGACAAGTGTGGTTTCCCAACTTTACCCCATCTGTCCAGGGAGTCATTATCACACTCTCCTCACATTAGAAGAACTTAAAATGCTGCATGAAGGTCTCAACCACCCTAAAATTATGAACAGAGATAGTAATCTCTGACATAATTTCTCTGACTGGAAATTCACCAGTATTAGCACTGGATTTGCAAAAAGTCCTTATGGCTGCCAGGAAAAAAGAAAAAAAAACCTATCCAAAAATTGTATGAGCTCTAATGGGCAACTTTTACCAGTATCACAGTCCTTTGAAATCAAAGGTTCGTTATCTCCTTTTTAAATTTACCTTATACACCTGTTCTCTAGGAGCTCAAGGCAGCAATTCATTCCCCATTTTTCCCCCAAAGTAACAATCCTGTGAGATAGGATAGATGTAACTAGGCCCAATGATATGTGGGGCTTTACAGTATACAGTGGTGTGCCGATAACTGTATAACAGCTGGCTCTGCCAGCTCCATTGCTGCTGCTGTGCCACACCTGTTGCTGCCAAACAGCTGATCAAAGCACAAGGGTTGGTGTTCAGTTCTGTTCTCAGTCGACTCGCAACATTCCGGAAAATTTAACCGTCAGCTCTCACAAGCTGGCGTGAGCAGGCTCTAGCACACCACTGGCTTTATAAGTCATAACTAACACCATGAATCGCAAGCAGATTGGCAACCAGAGCACCTTCCAATGCAAGGGTGTCATATGGGCATACTGATGTTTACCCATCATTACCTGCGCTGCTGCATTCTGGACCACTTGAAGCTTCCAGGTGGTCTTCAAGGGAAGCCCCATGTACAGCAATAGTTCAGCCGTGAGGTGACTAGGGCGTGAGTGACTGTCTGAAAGCCTCCCTATCTAGGAAAGGGCACAACTTGCACACCAGATGAAGCTGGGCAAAGGCCTTCCTGGCCACAGCTGCCACCTCCTCATCAAGTAGGAGCTGAGTCCAGGAAGAACTACTCTTGAATGGGGAAATGCTACACCATCCAAGGTTAAAGAGGGAATATCCCCAAATCTAGGAGGCCCTAGCATCTACAGCCACTTGGTCGTGATAGGATTGAGTCAGAGAAAGTTCTTTCCCACCCAGGCTCACGTAGCCTCCAGGCACTGGGACAGAACTCAGCAGCCTCACTTGGCCAGCCTAACATCAGCAGATATAATTGGTGCTGGTGAGGTCATCCATCCAGACTGGTGGATGACCTCACCCAGCGGTTTCACATAGATGTTGAATAAAAGGCAAGAAAGAGTCAAGCCCTGTGGCAAGCCGTGCAAGGGAGGGGCCTATGGAGTGACCTCTCCCCACCCTCCAATTGTGTGACGCACAGAGAACATAATAATGAAGGTTGCTTTTCTGTAACTCTGGTTCTTCAGGTAGTCATCTGTCTATTCACCCAGTCCAATCTCTGTATCCACCATGGCTTGCTGATGGAAAATTAGTGAGCTGAATTCAACTCCTTGCATTTGCTCAAGGAACTGAAGAGAGGGTGAGAGGCTCTTTAGCTTGTACAGTAAAATGAAGATTTCCTTTTTCTTGCTTAAAATTTAGCTGAAGAACATGCCAGAAAATGCTTTTTGAAGGCACAGAATCCAATTATGCAGCCTATTTGAAGAACTGCAGTTAAGAGGAACGAAATCTATTCTTTCTATGAGTAGTAGAGCACTTGAGGACTAGCAAACCAGAAATTACTTATATAGACCAGCAATTTAGGATAAATTATGCAATGTCCTCATTTTGCTTTATACATTGTTATTTATTATACAGGATTTGAATTGCACACCAACATAACTTTATTTTGAACTCTTACATTTACAGGGTGTCCATTGCATTCCTTCTCACTTACCATTGTTTAACTGAACACTTGCAATTTTCCTCTTATAATTTTCTAGGCCCTGTGGGCCTCTCACCCAAACAGGAAAAAAAGTTAAACAAAGTTGCATAGTCCATCAACCTCAAGAACTGTGTGTTGTTGCTTTACAATACAGTATTTGTCATACTGGGAGAGGCACAGATCTGAGAATAGGCAAGGATTGGAAAGTAATTGTCCCTTTGGACGCAACTAGCATGTACTGATTTAGAAGCAGTGTTCATGCTTGCTTTGCACAGTTGCACTTGTTCTCATGTAAACATTGGTTCAGATCTTGGGAAAAAATATCCTCAGTGGATTGTTATTTAGCTAAAAGACAAGCCATTCTGAAAGCCAGGTATGCTTGAAAACTTCAAGGAAAGCTGAGGACTTTATAATTATAACTAATTGCCTAAAACAAAGCACTTGCTTCAGCTTTAAAATGTACAGATTGGTCATTGGAGGTACAGAACTGTGGCATCTTTCATTGTCACAAGTTGGCCTCTCTTTCTGCTATGAAAGTCCTGCTATGCTTGCAAACTTCCTCCTCGCTTTTGCTTAAAACAGTCTTCTGAGTGGACTCAGTGGTACAAAGAACATACTGGCAGTATTTTTGAATTAAAGGATCAAAAGCAAAAGGGCTAGGAAATTAAAGCAAGCTTTCTTTGCCTTGGAGATGTATGCCCACAATATAGGTCAGTGTTTCTCAACCTTGGCAAGTTTAAGACGTGGGGACTTCAGCTCCCAAAATTCCCCAGCCAGCATGCACCCCAGCCTTCCACTATAACTACTTTGGCTGGGAGTTAGCTGTAACTGGAACCAACACATCTGGAAGACAGCAGATTCAGGGGTCTGGACTAAGGTGAATCAAGACCCTAACTCATTGACTGGATTCACACATGCCAGACTAGGCAAAAATGAGGTTGGTTAGCATGTTATAGGAACTCATTATCTTAGCATCTTGTGTGAAATAGGCTATCATGTTGAATTATTTATATGTATGTATGTGTATATGTATGTATGTATTTATTTATTTATTTACACACACACACATTGCACATAGCACATTCAAAGAAACACAGCAATTATGTTTTGTTAACTCATTAGAGTCTAGCATGTTGTGAGAATCCAGCCTCTCTAAGTCAGCATTTGTTTATTTATCTATCACTGGCCACAGGACTATTTGAGGAAACCAGGACCAAATAATTCCCCTCACTTTGTAATTACCTATAAAATACCAGAAACATAACCTTCCCAGCTGGGAAAGAAAATGACTTTATCTCCCCTTCCCCTTTCAGATGAAGACAGACTGTCTAAGAGGAGGAGTATTGGAGAGACCATCTCTCTGCAAGTTGAAGTGGAATCCAGGAATAGCCCAGAGAAAGAGGAGGTATGCCGTTCACAATGTGCACTTTTTTGGCTAGGCTCAACAAGCATAAATTGAATGAGAAATGGGTGGTTGGGAGCCTACTACCAGTCCTGTGAAGTCCTCTGCTTTATTCTGAACTTCTCTTCCCAACGTCACTAATATTTTTTGAGATGCTATTTTATTGTGTACCTGTCATGGGACACATTTTTTAAGGGCCTAACTAGACATTATGTACTGGTTTACTGGGTTCATTTGCTCAGGCAATAATAAATAGAGGGTTTCAAAATAGATAATCTGTAATAACAAGCCAGTAGGAAAAGCGTTTGCTTCATCCCATATATTTGTTTATGGTCTAAAGTCTTTGGCTGGAGCTCTGCTGTGTTCCATTCTATGTTATGTTGAATTAGTTTTCCAAGTTCAAATTTTTAAGTCAGGATGAATTGCATCCCAGGTATCAAAGGAACATTGATGGTCTTACCAACCCCTATTTACTATCTTTGGAAATTCTGGAGGTTACCAGATGATTACAGGAGGGACAAATGTTGTCCCTATCTTTGGCAGGTGGGGCAGCCTGGGAAAACTCTAAAACAGATCATAAAGCATTCAGTCTGTAAGCATCTTGAAAAATGTGCAGTGTTTACAAGAAATTAACCTGAATATGCTAACAACAAGCAGTGTCAATTATCTTTCATTTCTTGGTAGGGTAATATTCTTAGTATATTATGAGAACACTATGGACATAATATATCCTGAGTTCATTTCTTTGGTCAAGCATGTTGTGTAAATGCACTGAGTGAGTGCTCATCAGTGGTTCTGCTACCCTTGCAGTATTCTTCAACATTTTAATTAATAACTTGGATGAAGAAGTAGAGGAAATACTTCCTTAGTTTGTAGATGATATAAAACTTGGTGGAATGGCTGATACTTCAGAAGACAAAAGCAACATTCAAGATTATTTCAATAGGCTAGAGAAGAGAACAGAATAAAAATTAATTAATACAGATCCAGAGTTCTTCACTTAGGAAGACTAACTCAAATGCACAGGTGTAGATTGAGGGTATACCCGTGGGCATATGTCAAAATGAGCATTGCAGTGTCACGATGCAAGCTCTACCCTTTTTGTATATGTGACGCATTATTGCACATTCATAAGGACAGCCCTTACCTTGCAACATTGCAACACTTGTTTTGTCATCCTGATGAAACCATTGGATTCTGCATAAACCTAGTATGGTAATATTATATGTCAAAAGGATCTTGATATTATAGTTGATCACAAGCTGAATGTGAATCAGCAGTGTGATGTGAATGTGTTCAGGTGGAGGCTGAATATCCTTATCCTCTCTGTTGTGGATGCTTTAATTAGAATTCTTGCACAGACAACAAATTGGACTAAGTGGTCTAAATGGCCTCTTTCAATGCTGTGATTCAGTGGTAGGTCATAGTAGGAGAAAACCTGTGAAGGTTCATGGTAGCAATAAATTAGGAGTCTGGCAACACCTTTTCTGACTAACAGATTTTAATAAAAGGCATAAGCTTTTATGAGTTGCAGCTCGCTTCATCAGATGCATAGAGGTGTTGCCAGATTCCTTCTGATTTTATGGTAGGCCAAGGAGCAGAACTTTTCATTAAAGAGAACTCTCAGTGATTTTTCCTTCCTCCAAACTGGTCAGCAGCCCAACTCTGAGTAAGCATTTATGAAATGCTGAAAATGCTTTTTATTCCAGCAAGTACAAAAAAAGGAAAAACAGAGAAAGAAGCTAATGAACTTTCACACTGTTGTTCTTGTGCTTATCTATCTGTTTTTGCTATGGATCTGTCATACTTGTGTCATCTTCTAAGCTACAAGACAGTTCATAGAAGCATGAGAATAAATGTTTTAAAACAAATGCTTTTCATTAATTAAACAAACTCCATAGCAGGATTTAAGAGAAGAAAATGATGGACTGCTCACCAAATCCTAACCAAGGATATGAAGCATGGATTCTCTAATTGGGAAGTTGAGTGTCTCCAATGCCTTAGAAGTTTGGCATGCAGCAAGGAGGAGAGTTTTAGGGCAAGTGGCAGAATTGTTGAGAAGAGAGGGTTAGTTAGAGAGGCACAAGAAAGACAAGGATATGGAAAAGGGGATTTATTACTTGTTTATATTCTTCGGATAATACATTATACAGATGATTCATTTGATATGAAGGATTTTTCTTCTAATAATTAAAGTTTCTTTATGACTACTCTGTCTCTAAAGTGAGATTTCTTTCTAAACCTCTTTCAGATTTTAATATACCTAGTTCTAACATACTCTTTCTTTACCATTTTCTATTGTGTTCTCCCCAACAATCCCCCAAAGAGAGCACCAGCTGAAGAGATCACTTATGAAACTCTCAAGAAAGCAATTGGTAAGTCATTTCATGGGAGTACAACTGATCTGCATACTATTTCTGCTAAAACTAGATTGACTGGGGGTGGGGGGAGTTTTGAAAGTCTCTGATCCAATTAACCCCCTCCATCCTTCTCCTATTGAATACATGCATCCCAGAATAATAGCATAGCAATTAGAACCAACTGGGGGATCTTTGAACATTAAGACAAACTCTGTTCCTGGTGCCATACAGATCTCCTTGTGTCTTTCAGCCTAAGCCAGGAAGCTGAACACAGTTTAAGGGGACAAGATTTTAATCCTGCTCCTGCCCCAGTCATTAATTTCTCTTACTTTCTTGTTAGTAGATAGCGTTGCTGTAGAGGAACAAGAGAGGGAAAGGAGACGACAGGTGGTTGAAAAATTCCAGAAAGCTCCCTTTGAAGAGATCGCAGCACACTGTGGGGCCCGGGTAAGCATCGGCTTTTCCTGTTGAGTCCCATCTGCTCCTGCTCTGCCTGCCTGCATTGTTTCTCTTGATTTATATTGAGGAACAGTCCTAGTACAGAGGATAGCATATCTTCAAGATAGCTAAGTAGGGTAGAATGAATAAGGAAATCATACTACATGGCAATAGAAGAGAAGTGTATTTAAGCTGCGTTGTAACTTATCCTTGATGCTACTTTATATGTTGATTCAGCTTAGTAAGAGCTAAATAAGCTTATTTTTCTTATTCTACTTGCTCAGATGGACCAGTAACAACATTCTTCAGGGTGTAGAATGCCCCAAAGTTAAACAGCTTGTCACATTTCCTCTTGTCACCTCTGTCCCATTGTCAGCCTACTGCTAAGACAAACTGAAAATGCTTTAGGTGTTCCAGAGTGGAAGTGGTGTTCTTCATGTTATGCCAGCACAGACAATCTATGCAGACAAGGTAGAGTGTATGGAAGAGGCAGCTTGAAATGATGCGGTTTGGATCAGCGTTCTACAGTATTATTAAAATCTTCCCCTTATTCTAACACTGTCCAAAGGTAACTTCACCCTGGTGGAAATCTGTTAGGCTTTGGGCACAGACAGTCCCAAGCATCTGCTCAGACACTTGAGCAGGCAGAAAAGCATGTATGCATAAAATGTGTTGCCTCCACATTTGTACCCTAATCTTCCTCAGCAACAAGGCCATTGTGTGGTCTCCCTGTACAGTCTTAACCCCGGACAAATAAGGAAAGCAGTTGGTGGAATCTCCAGGCTACTGACTCTCACTCCTGTTTTGAAACACATTTCTAGAGCTCTTTTAGAAGAGCACTAAAGTCATGTTTAGAAGGAGCTTGTATAAGACCTGCCAAGTGCTTCAGAAAGCACCAGTTGGGCATTATGCAGCAGATGCTTCTGCAAAAGTCAGATATCTGGTCACCCCTATAACCAAGCCAACATGACTGTGGAGGGCAGTGCCAAGTGACCAGCCTATGTGTGTGCCCACAGCAGTGTGAAGTAGCCAATCGATGCTGAGCAAATTCCAGCTTCTGACCAAGTCAACTGCGTTGTTAAGTGTGCTAGATCATGTCCATAGCAAAAACTGTGTAGGGAGAAAAAAGAAGTCGGAACAATGAAGTCATAACAAGTAGGCAACTTGTCAAAGACCACTATTAGAATGGGAGAGTCCCATAATTCAGTGTTATTTCACTTGCTTTGAATATGCAGAGCAACTAAACTTCAGTCCCTGGCAGTGCAGCACTTCCTTCTACAGCAAATAGGGGTGTGGGGGGAGGACCTTATGATGGCCAAGAGCCACACATCATTTTTGGGAGGTGAAGAGGCACAAAGTAGATGGAGCCATAAAGGTTGCTTGTGGGCCTGTGTTAAGAGAACAAAGGAGAGGAAGATGTCTTGCTGTCTGGCACCCAAAAGAACTGCTGCCTATCCAGATAGACTCTTAGCTGGAAGCATTAAGAGTCTGGTCTGGTGAAAGCAGCTTCCTCTGTTGATCAGATAAGGGTTAGGGTCAGGCTGTTAGTTAAATAGGCATTTTCTTCTGCATGGGGTTCAGCTTAGGCAAGATTTTGAGTTGCAGTTCTCGGGGTTGTTTTTGGAGGTCACTTTTTCCATTTCCAAACTGGAAGGTATATGAGTATAGTTTAACCTTCAATTATTTAATTGACCAAAGAGCTTGATCATAACAATGGATTGTTACTCTGGTGTCATAAATTAAACCAGCCTCCCCCCCGGCATCCCGAGAGTTGAAATGCCTAAGATAAATAAATGAAATAAAAGATTTTTCCACAGTGCTTCTACTTGCTCTGAAATTAGATAACACTCGTGCCACTGGAATTGCAGAGCTATCCATGAAAAGGAATCCACTCTAAGTTTGGGGGGGAAATTGTAGTAAATTTAATTAAAGGGATTTTGTTACAGTGCCATAAAAGTAAGTAGAACATGCTGCAAACTCTTAGAGGAAAAAACCCTTTGTGTTCATTGCAAGGGGACTTTCCACTTACAGTGCTTAAAATCAAAGTTTTGTTCTAATTGCAGGCAACTCTACTACAGAGCAAGCTGAACCAGATCTTTGAGATTACAATACGGTAAGGGGAAGGTGACATAACTCTTTCATGAGGGATATCCAGACAGAGGATTGCCAGAAGTAATGGCAATGTTAGTGGTTCAGCAAGATTGGCAGTAAAGGATCTGAATGGATTTGAAGTGAGGAAGGATGCTTTAGATCATTGGTTCTCAACGGGGGCGGTGGGAGGATGCTGAGGGGCGGTGAACTTGTTTTGGGCAGTAGGGGGGCGGTGGGCATGTTTTGGGCGGTAGAGGGGCGATGAGC